TTAGAATACCACGAGAATCATACTCCTGATTACACGACATTTTAAAAATGGCAAAAAGGATGGAAAGTTCAAAAGGTTGTAGGTTGAGATGGGGAGTTGGTGTCCGAGTGGATCGAAGACACGATAGCTCACGTGGTAGAGTAGCGGAGTATTTAGCCGAAGGTCGTGGGTTCGAATCCCGCTCGTGACACTAGCTTTTTCATTTCAACCAAAACCTACTTAAAAAAAAGATGTATTTATTGTGTTTAAATAGTTGTACTCTAGTCTATCAGAATAATGCAAAAAGCAATATTTTTTATACCCTTTAAATGTGTTAGATATTAACTTAAAATCACAGTAATTGAATTCTAACTGGAGCATAACAACAAGAGAAAATTGAACTTTTTCAATGTTCATAGCATCTTCTAACATTCCCACAATTAAGGTAAGATTGAATAGGTTTAATTACAGCCATGTCATTATGGAGACAATATCAGCCTTCCCCCGATTGATTTTTTTGGGCCGGGAAGAAAATAAATTACCTAAAGTAATTGTCTATTTGCGATCTTTAACAGGCCAGGGGGTTATTGATCGTGCCGAAGAACCTTTCACGCTCGTTTCTTCGCAGGCCATTTCAGGAGAGGCCGTTTCGCGTGATGTTGGTAGGTCGTAGACAATTTTCCAGCCTTGAACCGAACAGAGAACCCAGTCGGGTTTGAAATGATCGTAGGTCGTGTTTTTCTCTCAATTAACAGCTAACCAAGAGCGAAATTACAAAAGTGAAAGAGGAAGGACAAACAACTTTTAGGTTTGACAACATTGAAACTATTTGAGGTATAATTCCAAGAATTTAAGATAAAATGTTAACGTGTGACTATTAAATTGCAAAGAAATTGTAGACTTACTCTATTTATCTTATATATATTTTGTATCATTCAAGAAAAAGTTTGAAATGCATAAACAAAACTACAATGAGAGGGGAAAAGTGATCATCCTTAATATTTTAAATTATCACTTAGACAATGTTCCATTGATTATCTTAGAACAATGTTTTGGTCCTTTTAAAGGAGAGGTATTGGGGGCGTCGATGGCCGCAACGGTTTAGGCGTTGACACTCAACGGCGCTCATCACTGTAAGGTAAAGAAAGGTCCGGGGTTCGAATCCAGCGTCCCTGTATTCGAACCCGACATACTTGCAAATGGGCTTTTTGTCAAAAACACCGGCACCCCGAGTTTACAATTGGATTTTGTAAAAAAATTATTGCATTTCTTTGTTGGGTTTTCTGTAAAAATTCTTTCTAAGGTTCCGGACGTGATTTTTTTAAGTTGTACCGTTTTTACATTTCAAATTTGTTTGACTGATAGTTTTAAGTGATTCGGCTAGAACCATAGCATTGATGGAAGATGGAAGAAGTTGTCAGCGTATTCCACGATGTTTAACATTCCCAGAACAACTGCCGATGGGTCTTCCATCGCTACCAAGATACTGGAGGTTACTCAAGAAGGCGCAGAGTCAATGCGAATAGATAGCAACTCTGAAATCGATTTCAAGGTAAAACTTAACTGCTTCGCATAACGAATTCAGCGTAAACGTTGTAAACCTTTTTTGCTATAAAAACGATAATCACTTGCTGTACGATCAAGCTAATCCATCAAAACAGGTAGCCATCGTGTCACATCTCAGAGATAATCGTTTTATTCTTTCAAGAGTACTGCGTAATGCTATGCCACTAATAGGCGACGGTTTTATTTTTGTTCATGACAATGCAAGGCCCGACACGGCTAGGATCTTTGGTGACTACTTGGAACGGTGGTACAAGCTTCATTTCAATGTTTGGTCTTGGTCAGTAAGTAGTCCCGAAACCTTTTCCAACACCTTTGGGACGAGTTATCAGAGAGGATAAAAGTCGCCTAATGATACCTGAGGATTTGCAGGAATTAATTGCAGGAATGGCGCTGTAGGAAAAGTGTGAATATATTCCACAGCATACATTCAAAACTTCGTAAAATCGATGCTACCTCGAATAAGCGGTGATCATTTTCATCAGTTGTTCGTTTTATTGTTTCGAATGTACATCATAACAGGCGTTCTACCGTTGTTGAGAGATCAAGCAACGTCTTCAACTTCCTTAGATATGTTAATGCAGTTTGTGCATTCTAAGACGAAGACATTCAGAAGTTGGATTACGTGCCAGTACCTTCCACTGGTCCAGAACTTCTGACAAAAGACAAAACAGTTCGGTTAAGTTTCGCAAGAAATTACATCAATTGGTCTCAGCGAGATCGGACAAAAATGTATTTTCGGATGAGTCAAGATTTTGTCTGAGGTCGCTCTATAAAAGGTATCTCCGCAACATTTTCACTCTGGAGAAGCTATTGGGGTGGTGGTGTAAGGGTTCACGCAGGCATTTCTATGGAAAGTCGCACCAACTTGATCTTCATCGAGGCTTCCCTAACAACTGCGTTATACATTGAAGATCTTTTATCGGAAGAAGTTGTTCCTCATATGCTGCTAAGTTAATACGGTTTTATGTATGACATTGCAAAGCCCCACGCAGCTAGGATCTTTGGTAACTACTCGGAACGGGCATCGATTCAATGTTTGGACTGGCCAGCATGTAGTCCCGTCTTAAACCTTATCGAACACCTTTGGAATTTTTTGCCAAAAGGGTAAAAGTCGCCCAGTGATGCCAGAGAATTTGCAGGAATTAAGAAATGGCGCTGTTGGAGGAAAATGAAAATATTCTACAGCACTACATTCAAAACCTCATAAAATCGATGCCACATGAACGTAAGCGATGATCAACGCAGACGAGGAAATACTCTATTTACTTGAATATTTTCTTCATTATTTCTATATCAGCATTTTTGGTAAAATTACTCATAGTCAATTTAATTTGTCATATAATTTTTTTTTTAGTTATATCTTATATTTTTCTTTAAAAATATCCAGTAAACAATAAAAAATTAAAAATTATAACGATGGCAGGAATTTACTAAAAAAAAGAGGGTAGCCACTTTTTTGCCTGTCAGTGTAGTATAAATATGTATATAAATATAATATAATAATAATAATGTATAAATATAATAATAATGTAATTAATAATAATAATATAATATAATAATAATAATATAATAATATAATATAATAATAATATTATAATTTCACCAGTTAGCATAATAAGCAGATTTGTCTATGTTAAAAAAAATCAAAATAGTTTATAATGTGGGGTGTTTAATGACTATTACTTGATGATTATTT